GCCACAGGATAAGGGGAGAGGAAGACACCCATTCACAAAACACAGGGAATGCCATAGGGAGTAGAGAGACAAAAGGGAGAAAGAGGAAGACAAGTGCTCACAGGGGATAGGGAATTCTACCACTGAAGAGGGAGAGAAAAAGGAGGCCCACGTGGGGCTTGAGCTTTGAAGCTGCTATAGGACCAATCAGAAGGGAGTATTGGGACACAAAGAACTGCCGCCTTATAAACCTTAGGAAAAAGGGGCTCAGTGGGCCACCCCCTTTGGGACCCCCTCCCTACGGGGAGTCTGTGCTTGTTTCCCAATAAATGTCCACCTTTCCACACACCACCGTTTGTCCGTGGCTTCATTCCTGGAATCCACCTGGACAAGAACCCGGGAAAGAAAGCACCTGTGCATCCTGCTCAGAAGAAACCACGCATTTCAGTTTGGTCCCATGTTTCATAAGTAATCTCTACAGATAAATTCCGCCGCCTGCAGAGCCTTCAGTCTTCATATAATCATGATTGTTTCTGGACCCTGAGCCTCCTTCTTTTAACTTTGGAGAGACCTTGTTATCATCATCATCATCATCGTCACCATCATCCAAACAATATTTATTGAACTCTCATGTGGAAATAACCAATGGCCTGACTAGGCATGTGCTTGAGATATGACAAAACAAGTAAGCCAAAAACAAGTAGGTAAATTATTTTAAAGTATTTGATGTGATATTTCTAAAATAAAACAAAACCCTAAGGCATTAAAGTCATCTTCATTACAATAAATATGCATTTCATAGGCTTGCTTACATTTTTAATTGTTTAGTATAAATTTCATTTTTAATTAGAGAGAGAGAGAGAGAGAGAGAACACTGAAATATTTAAAGCCACAAAATTCTTAAAAAGGTAAAACACCATCTAAGTATTTCCCGTAAGAGAGAGCTGTAACTATGTCTTTTCAGCTGAAAAAATGGGGCACAGAAGGGTTGAGTAGTCTGCCGAGGTTCCCAGCGGGAGTCAGGAATGAAAATACGAGTCTATTTGCTTCTGAGTCTTCCCACTCAAGTACAGCATTTCTGTGAAGTCTGGAAACATGGTGAATATACGTAAGGTCAAGGGCATCTTCAAGCCGTAAAAATGTAAGTCACATCTCCATGCTCTGCAAGGGAACCTTCTGCGGCCGCACTCCTGGTCCTGGGGGTGCTGTTCTCGGCCTTCCTCTCAGGGTCCCTTCTCTCCATGTGCTTAGGACCATCTCACTAGCTCCCCTTCTCCCTTAAAGGGGCAGCAAGGTCGAGACTGGACTCAGACTTTCGGGGCTCCCGGCCCACGCAGCACTCTCTGTATTGAAAACTGTTGGAACAAATGGATTATTTCCAGATTTTTGTCAAGAAATTCCTAATTCATATCCTCTGACCCTGTGACTCCACCCCTGGGAATCCGTCCTAAGAGAATGTGCTATCCAATCAGTACCAAGCCTGCTCATAGCATGTTCAGTGGAGACTTGCAAGATCAGGTTGGGAGGACCCAGAGCTCAGTGGCTCCCTAAAGGCAGGACTGCCTTAAAAGGCAGTTTAACGCGGGATATTTACAAAGCGTTTGCAGATGTTATAGTGCTAAGTGGGGGAAAATACAAGATACATTCAGTATGATTTCAACAACAAAAGATGTTTCAATAGCATATCAGAACCCCTAGTCATGTGGGAAATGGCTCCATGGTGGGGGGACTTGGAACACACTGAGCTAACCTTGAGCAGGTAGTTCTGGGATTGACATGCTAATGTAGTTGTGAATCTTCCAGGCAGAGTATGTTATTCAGCATCTCAAACAGGACTGCTGCTAAGTCTCCCAGTGCGAGATGATGAACTGGCAGGATTCGTCATCAGGGAGCCAGAGGCCAGCAGCACCATCGGATCACGGAGAAGGGAGCCACGAGGAGCGGTAACTAAATAACCGGCGCCTGCGTATGGAGCATCTGGGCTTCAGAGGGCCCTCTGGCACTTACAACCGAGGCGAGGGACCGAGAAATGCACAGAGATGCTGCAGCCTGGTGTCTTAGCATGTTTAAATGTTCAAAATGTTCACATCTCCCGCCCTGCCATTCTGTGCATGAGCTTCTATTCCTACGGAACAGAGCAGAGTGCAGCTAAAGACCAATGTAAAAAAGGACTAATCTCGTTAGTATTGTTTAAAATAGCCCCATGTTTAAAGCAATTTATATGCTAAACAACAGAGTATTGAGAAAAATTTAGGTTACACAATGTGTTGACTTAAAATAGTTTCAAAATGTTAGTAAGATGGGATTATGAAAATACAGAAAACTGCATATATGGTATAAACCTAATTTCAAATATATACGCATATACACCTGTGAATACCCAGAACATAGAGAGAGGAATCAGTACACCGCAGTGTAACTGTGCTATCTACAGGGGGCATCGTCGGGAATAACGGTTGCTTTTACAATCATGGGGGGAAGGACTTTGTTTAACACTCACTCCAACAAGGAGGGTCACCATGTGCTCTGGGCTGCCCGCCCTCGGGGTCCTGCCTCTGCACCGCAGCGGGTACACGGTATCATCAAGCCAACCAACCTAGGGAACTTGGAAGGCCACTTCCTTGAAACTGATAAGATCCCTGAAAAAGAAATCAGGCCTGTTCAGGGTTTTGCTCATAAGATGGTGGCTTCCTTTCCGATCATTTTCATTCTTCTACCAGGGCAGGGAGGGACACGGTGAGCCCGGACACAAGCCGGGCCTGAGCAGAGGTGGGCAGGGACCCTCGGTCCTGCAGGACTCCCCATGGGCTCAGGCTCTGTGGCCGCTCTCCCCCAGATGTGTGCTGATGGCCTGGCAGTCCCCACCTGCCCCTGCCAAGGGGATGCCACCCCCTCTTGACAGGGAGCACGTGAAGGCTGGGTTCTGCAGGACTTCTCAAATGACCCCCTGCAGGTCGCACATGCTGGGTGATACTAACAGCTCTGCTAAGTGACCCATCAGAAAGGAAAGGCCAGACCTCCCTTGGCATTTGGCTTCCTGATGCCTGTCTCCATCAAAGGCAAAAAACAACGACAGAATATTTCTATCTGTCTCAGGAGACTTTGTACAGAGAAATGTGCAAATTTCGGAGCTTCCTTTTGAAACCGCTTCCAACTCTAAAGGCCACCAAGTACCCTGCCCTGGAGGAGCCTGGGGGACCCTCCCACATGCTGCCAGCTCTATCTCCAGGGGCATAGGAGTCACCCGCTCCTCCCTGGGAGTAACCGCTATTGTCATTGGTCTCTGGGCAGTTACCGCAGTGTAGGCCTCTGGGCACTCCCTGGGGCAGGCCGCATGGACTTCCACGGCCCGCAGTGCCTGGCTCCAGCAGGCGTGAGTCTCAGAGTGAGCAAAGCCTATTCTTTATAGACTCTGTGCCCACAACATGGGGCCTGAAATGCTGCTCCCGTTGCTCAGGACTGAGGAGACAGCGGACCAGAGGGGCGCCCGGATGCATGGACCACACTATCTGCTGTGCTGAGGACAGTTTTCTGGACGGTGCAAACTTGGGGTCTTCCAATGGCTTTGCTTTGGGCTCACACCCCAACCTTGCACTTCAGTTGTCCCACATGTCATCTATGAGAAACACTCCCAGAACAGTGACTATGAACCTAAGGTTGAAGAAAGGCCCTGCCATACCCAGCCTGGCCACTAAATCCTGCCCATCCTTTGGGATCATTTCCAATCCACCTCCTTCCAGGAGCCTCTGTTTGCCCACGGGGCATTGGGGCTTCCTTTCTCCCGGCCTCGCTTGTACCTCCTCAAGGCTCTGAGCACATGAGCCCTCAGCGGTGGCTTTAGAGGGGATTGCTGTGTGCCCTTGAGCACTCTCACCCCTTCCAAGGGATCCAAGGCCTCACCCTCAGGAACTCCTGGCCACCTCTCCCCAGCAGGGGACCGTGGCGGCGCATCGCTGAGACAGGGACCTGGGTCCCGCGAGCAGTCATCTTCTCGATCAGACTTGCTGGGATGAAATCTTCAGCGTGGAAGTCGGCTTTGGTTGCTGCCCGCTGGAAACAAGATGCTGAGGAAGGGGCATAGGCAGGTCGCCTTCTGCGGCACTCTGAGCGGAACAGAAGTCTGCTGCAGTCAAACCCAGGTGAGGGCCCGGCGGGCGTGGCTCAGCAGTTGAGCATCGATCCAGGAACCAGGAGGTCATCAGTTCTATTCCCGGTCAGGGCACATGCCCGGGTTGTGGGCTCGATCCCCAGTAGGAGTGTGTGCAGGAGGCAGCTGATGGATGCTGTTTCTCTCGTCAATGTTTCTATCTCTCTATCTCTCTATCCCTCTCCCTTCCTCTCTCTCTAAAAATCAATAAAAACATGAAAAAGAAACAAACCCAGGTGAGGCCCCAGGGGCAAGGATGCTCCTTCAGAGTGCCCACCAGGCACACCTTTTTCTATGCTAGAGGCTGGGCCAATCACATGACAGGAATAGAAGGGAGAGAAGAGAGGAACCACCCGTTGGTGAGCCCTTCTGTATGCCAGTGGGTCCTCAGCACTCACAGCTCTTCTGGCACTCACAGAGATCCTGCGGGGGCGGCATTAGTACTGCCACTGCCAAGATGAGCACAATGACCAAGGAGGGACGTCGCCCACTGGGGCCAAGGTCACACCGCTTGTAAGTGACAGAAACAAGATGTGGTCACCAAGCCCTCCCACATGCCATGACGCCACACCACTCCCCAAGGCACAGCAAGCCCTGGCGCTGAAACGCTGATTCTTTTTATTCCTCTGGCATTTCTATGCATGTGTGCTCCCGGCGCACTGTCCCCTCCTCCTACAGGGAGCTCTTGCCTGTGACACTGTCCACAGCAGGTGATCAGAAGTTTCCCCATGAACCAGGGAGGTTCTGACAGCCCCACCTGCGCCAGATGAGCCTCCACCAAGGCCGCTCTTCAGCGGACCTGAGGCTGCAGCGCACGAGCAGGGCAAACCACTGTGTCGGTTTCTACAAAACGAAACAGACCCTTACCGTACGATCCAGCATCATGCTCCTCGGGAGGTAACAACATCTGTTCACACAGACACCTGCATGTAGATGTGCAGAGCACTTTATTCACAATTGCCAAAACCTGAAGCAAAGATGTCCTTCAGGGGGAGGGATGAATAAACTGTCCATCCAGCTAAGAGGAAATGAGCTACCAGCCATGAAAAGACATGCAGGACAGGAAATGCATATGAGCAAGTAAAAGCAGCCAATCTGAAAAGACTCAGTACCGCAGGGCTCCAACTATATGACATTCTGGAAAGGGCAAAACCATACAGACGTGAGAAGATCAGTGGTTACCAGGGGTTGTGGGAGGAGGAGGGACGGATAGGAGGGGCATAGAGGACTTTCAGGGCCGTGAAACTACTCTGTAGGATCCTGTGGCCCTAGATAGCTGTCATTATAAACTTGTCCAAACCCATAGAACATGCAACAGCAACAGGGAACCCGACAGTAAACTATTGTCTTAGGGTGATTATGGTGTGTCTGTGTAGACCCATCATAGTCACAAATGTACCACTCTGCGGGGGATGCTGAAACTGGGGAGCCTGGGGGAGGGGGATAGGCGGCATTTGGGAACTCTCTGTGCCTTCCTTCCATTGCTGTGAACTGAAAACTATTAAACTTTTTGTAAGTGTTTATGACCTTTAACCCAGCATCTCATTGCCAGGAACATGTCCAAGAGGAGACATCCGTGTGCACTGAGACAGCTCCAGCAGCAGCATGGGTTTCTATGTCATTGATTAAGAGGGAAGATCAGAAACTGGAATCACAATAGCAGTTACCACTTTGATGGCACCTCTAGGTGATGCCCAGAATTCTTACCAGCCAGGGAGTGGGATCCTGCCCTGAGGGTCACACAGAGCTGTCCCAAACGGTCACCAGGCGGCTGCAGAAGACACAGGCCATCGGGTGAGAGAGCAGGATGCAGCCTGGCAGTGTTCACACCGGCTCCTCTCCGCACGTGAAACGGCTGCAGGGGAGGCACCCAGGGGAAGGCTGTTCTGCTGCAATGATGTGATTTACAAGATTTATTTTTATACCAAATTGTCTTTGTCTCTTTTTAAAATGCAAATGTAATCATGTCACTTCCCTGCTTAGAATTCATCCGTGCTCCCAATCTTTCACTACAGTGATTTTCAAATTATTTTTTTCTGTCACCAGAACCATTTATCAAACAAAATGCAAGCCCCTTAGGAGGGCACACTAGGTCCTCCTGGTCCTGGGCCCACGGGCTGTGCCGCCAGCCCACAGCCCCTGCAGCCGCAGGGGAATACCCGCCGCGCTCTGGACAGGCAGCCTTCTGGTCTAGGCACCGCTGACACTCGCAGGGAGGGGCTCTCCCTCTGAGTCTCCCAGTGCCCTCTGACCTGCCCACCACAGTGGCTGCAGCGCAGGGAAGCCAGGCCGAGAAGGGGTCCTCACGGGGCTCTCACCAGCTCCCCTCCCTCACACGCAGAATGTTTCTCAACTGCAGATGGGAATTGCACTGGCTCCGCAGGGTTGACACAGGCTTAGAGGATGCCGGGCACAGAGCAGGCCCCCATAGACAGTATGAGCGAGTGGGCGCACAAATGAATGCTGGTGTAACCCGCTGCCTTTCCACACACAGCACAAGGGAGAAAGGTCTGCCTTTGGGGGCCACGTGGGAGCATCCGAGCTCTCAGAAGGACTCTGACCCCAGGGCAGTGGGAGAGGTTGAGGTTGGGCAGGGCCTGGGAGAGGAGACAGAGCTGGAGGATGAGATCAATAAGGTAGGGGCTGGGTGAGGTTAGTCAGAAACTGGACAGCACAGGGAGGCACCGATGGGCCACCCACAGACAGGTCTGGGCCGCTGAGCCTTGGGACAAGTGAGCCCATCAGAAGGATCTGGGCTGAGTCTACTCTGGCTCCCAGCTGCCTGCAGGGGACCTGACCCACAGCGTCCACCAACTCCAGAGTTAAGGTCTCAGTTTTACATCCCACGCCCGAATCCCGAGGCTGAAAGCTGGGCCTTCGGGTGGTTTTGTAGAGAGCACTCTTAACTCCAGGGGCAAAGGACGTTTGCAAATAGCAGTTGCTACATGCGGGGGTCATACATGCAGAACCACTGCCGCCTTACGGGGCTTTGCAGGGACCTGCTATTGTTTCCATTTTGCAGATGAGAAGCTGAAGCTCAGAGAGATAACGTGCCCAAAGTCACGCACGTAGCGACTAACCGAAACAGGCAGGGTTGGGACCCAGTTCCGTCTGACTCCAAAACGCAGCCCATTCTGCTCCGTGGAGCTGTAAGGATGGACTAGCACAGCGGCTGGAAGCCACCCTCCCCTGTCCACGTGGCCACACACTGGATCAGACCGGAGGCTGCAGCAAGGATGTCAACTGCTTCACTGGGCCCCTGGCTTAGAGCCTCTCCAACTGTCAGAGCCCTTCTCCTCCCAAGGCCCCCAGTGCAGCAGCACAGGGCAAGGCCCCCAATATAGGAGCACAGGGCAAGGCCCCCCAATGCAGCAGCACAGGGCAAGGCCCCCCAATATAGGAGCACAGGGCAAGGCCCCCCAATGCAGCAGCACAGGGCAAGGCCCCCCAATATAGGAGCACAGGGCAAGGCCCCCCAATGCAGCAGCACAGGGCAAGGCCCCCCAATATAGGAGCACAGGGCAAGGCCCCCCAATGCAGCAGCACAGGGCAAGGCCCCCCAATATAGGAGCACAGGGCAAGGCCCCCCAATGCAGCAGCACAGGGCAAGGCCCCCCAATATAGGAGCACAGGGCAAGGCCCCCCAATGCAGCAGCACAGGGCAAGGCCCCCCAATATAGGAGCACAGGGCAAGGCCCCCCAATGCAGCAGCACAGGGCAAGGCCCCCCAATATAGGAGCACAGGGCAAGGCCCCCCAATGCAGCAGCACAGGGCAAGGCCCCCCAATATAGGAGCACAGGGCAAGGCCCCCCAATGCAGCAGCACAGGGCAAGGCCCCCCAATATAGGAGCACAGGGCAAGGCCCCCCAATGCAGCAGCACAGGGCAAGGCCCCCCAATATAGGAGCACAGGGCAAGGCCCCCCAATGCAGCAGCACAGGGCAAGGCCCCCCAATATAGGAGCACAGGGCAAGGCCCCCCAATGCAGCAGCACAGGGCAAGGCCCCCCAATATAGGAGCACAGGGCAAGGCCCCCCAATGCAGCAGCACAGGGCAAGGCCCCCCAATATAGGAGCACAGGGCAAGGCCCCCCAATGCAGCAGCACAGGGCAAGGCCCCCCAATATAGGAGCACAGGGCAAGGCCCCCCAATGCAGCAGCACAGGGCAAGGCCCCCCAATATAGGAGCACAGGGCAAGGCCCCCCAATGCAGCAGCACAGGGCAAGGCCCCCCAATATAGGAGCACAGGGCAAGGCCCCCCAATGCAGCAGCACAGGGCAAGGCCCCCCAATATAGGAGCACAGGGCAAGGCCCCCCAATGCAGCAGCACAGGGCAAGGCCCCCCAATATAGGAGCACAGGGCAAGGCCCCCCAATGCAGCAGCACAGGGCAAGGCCCCCCAATATAGGAGCACAGGGCAAGGCCCCCCAATGCAGCAGCACAGGGCAAGGCCCCCCAATATAGGAGCACAGGGCAAGGCCCCCCAATGCAGCAGCACAGGGCAAGGCCCCCCAATATAGGAGCACAGGGCAAGGCCCCCCAATGCAGCAGCACAGGGCAAGGCCCCCCAATATAGGAGCACAGGGCAAGGCCCCCCAATGCAGCAGCACAGGGCAAGGCCCCCCAATATAGGAGCACAGGGCAAGGCCCCCCAATGCAGCAGCACAGGGCAAGGCCCCCCAATATAGGAGCACAGGGCAAGGCCCCCCAATGCAGCAGCACAGGGCAAGGCCCCCCAATGCAGCAGCACAGGGCAAGGCATTTTGCTTAGTGTAAGCTCTACCCCTGGCTCCCAGGGTGGCCATGCCACTCAAGTCCAGCCAATCAGTGCATAGCATCTCCCTGCACAGGGACTGGTGTAGGGCAGGCCCGTGACCCTTTCAGAACCAATGCAACAGAATGG